AAAATAACCATCAAAACAATTCCATACCTAGCAAAATTTTGACTGAAAGCCAAATAAAGGCATTTTCAGACAAAAACTGGGTTTGCCACCAACAGACTCTCACTAAAAAAACCTCCCAAAGGTGTACTCCCGGAAGAAAAAAAACGATCTCAAAGAAAGACACAATATGTAAGAAGGAAGGGTGAACAGAAAATGCTAAACACAAGAGTAAAACTAAATAAAAATGCAGGGCGCAGTGGCTTATACCTGTCATCCCAGCACTTTAGGAGGCCAAGGTGGGAGGATCCCCCTTGAGCACAGGAGTTTGAGCCCAGCTTGGGCAACATAGCAGGACCTTATGTCTACTAAAAATTAAAAAATATATATTTAGCTGGGTGTGGTGGCAAGCACCTGTAGGTCCAGCTACTGGGGAGGCTAGAGCAGGAGGATCCTCTGAGCCCAAGAAGTCAAGGCTGCAATGAACTATGGTCACGCCACTGTACTTGAGCTTGGGCAACAGAGTGAGGTCCCATCCCTAAAAATAAATAAATAAATAATAAAACAATATTAACTGTACAAAACAAGTCATTAATGCCTTAATTTATAGGATTAAAAATCATGGAAGAAACAAAATCCTACACAGTAATATTTTAACCTGGGAAGTGAGGATCTGTAACCAGAATTAAAACATTCTAAAGTCTTTGCATTGTTCAAGAGGATATAAATATTAACTTTAGACTTTGTTATGTTAAATATGCAACTGAAAATCTCCAGATTAAGTCCTGAAAGAAGAAAATAAAGTACAGCTTTCAAACCAGTAGAGGAGGGAAACAGCAATTGGGGAGGGAAATTGCTTAGACATATCTAAACATACGGTAAAGAATAAAAGGACAGAAAAAGATATAACAAGCAAAAATCAAACTAAAGAAAACTATTATAGCCATATTAATTTTAGAGGAAACAAACTTTAACAAAAAAGCAATACTGTAAACAAACAGGGAAGTAACAGTGATATGAAATTTAAGTCACACACACACAAAAAATTCTACCTGTAATCCCAGCACTTTGGGAGGCCAAGGCAGTGGATTACCTGAGGTCAGGAGTTCAAGACCAGCCTGGCCAACATGGTGAAACCCCGTCTCTACTAAAAATGCAAAAATTAGCTGGGTGTGGCAGCATACGCCTGTAATCCCAGCTACTAGGGAGGCTGAGGCAGGAGAATCCCTTGAACCTGGGAGGCAGAGGTTGCAGTGAGCTGAGATTGCGCCCTCTAGCCTGGGCAACAGAGTGAGTTTCCATCTCAAAAAGCAAAAAAAAAAAGAAAAGAAAAAAGAAAAACAATTCTAAATCACCTAGTAATATAGATACAACATATACACACACAAGTTGACAAAACTACAAAGAGAAACTACAGCTCTCTTAATAACTGGTAGATCAATTGGTAAAATATCAGTAAAATATCAGTGATCTCGGCTCACTGCACACTCTGCCTTCCAGGTGCAAGCAATTCTTGCGCCTCATCCTCCGGAGTAGCTGGGACTACAGGCACCCACCACCACACCTGGCTGATGTTTGCATTTTTAGTAGAGACAGGGTTTCACCATGCTGGCCAGGCTGGTCTCGAACTCCTGACCTCATGTGACCGGCCCACCTCGGTCTCCCAAAGTGCTGGGATTGCAGGCGTGAGCCACTGCCCTGCCAAGAACCCTCTTAAAGTATGTATTAATACCCCACTTGATAGAAGAGGCACAAGGAAATTAAATAACTTCCCCAAGATCAGGCAACTAACAGGTGAAAGAGCTAAGATTTGAGCCCAAGTCAACTGCTACATTTAAGTGATTTTACTTCCTCAATATTCCTCCAACTCATTCAGAAGGCATAGAGCAGAGTCACAAGAGCACTGATTTTGGAATTAAATACAACTATATTTGAATCACAGTTGTCATTTATTGGTTGTCTCATTTTCCATTTGTAAATCAAAGATATTACCTGTCTTCAGTGGTTGTGGTAAAAACTAAATACTCATACTCAAAACACAGTAGTTCTTACAAGTTCTTTCTACAAGTCCTTTAAATTCATGCTGAATAAAGAAAAACTATATTAAGCCAGAGTATTTGAAAACATCGGGCACAGTGGCTCATGCCTATAATCCCAGTATTTTGGGAGGCTGAGGCAGGAGGATTGCTCAAGCCCAAGAGTTCAAGACCAGCCTAGGCAACATAGTGAGACCTCATCTTTACTAAAAACCAAAACAATTAGCCAGGGAATTAGCCACATTCCTGTGGTCCCAGCTGCTCAGGAAGCTGAAGCAGGAGGATCACTTGAGCCCAAGAGGTCAAGGCTGCAGTGAGCCGAGATCATGCCACTGCACTCCAGCCTGGGCAACAGGGGGAGACACTGTCTCAAAAAAAAAAATTAATTAATTAATTTAATTTAATTAAAAAATAAAAATAGCCCAAAAAAGTGTTTTTTTGTTGTTTGGTTGTTTTTTTTTTTTTTTTTTTTGAGGCAGAGTCTTGCTCTGTCGCCCAGGCTAAAGTGTAGTGGCATGATCTCGGCTCACTGCAACCTCCATCTCCCAGGCTTAAGCAATTCTCGTGCCTCAGCCTCCCCAGCAGCTGGGATTAGAGGTGTCCGCCCAGCTAATTTTTGTATTTTTAATAGAGACAGGGTTTTGCCATGTTACTCAGGCTAGTATTGAACTCCTGAGCTCAAGCAATCCACCCACCTTAGCCTCCCCACAAAAAAAAATGTTTTAAGAGAAAAGAGAAACTATAGTCTGGTTAAAATATTGGCTGGGCATGGTGGCTCACACCTATAATCCCAGCACTTTGGGAGGCTGGGGCAGGCAGATCACTTGAGCTCAGGAGTTCAAGACCAGCCTGAGCAACATGATGAAACCCTATATCGACAAAAAATACAAAAATTAGCCAGGCGTCATGGTGCACGCCTGTAATTCTAGCTACTCGGGAGGCTGAGGCAGCAGAATCGCTGCGCCCAGGAGGCAGAGGTTGCAATGAGCCAACATCATGCCATTGCATTTTGCCTGGACCACAAGAGTGAAACCTTGTCTCCACAGAAAAAAAAAGACTTACAAAACATATATATGTGTCTGTGTGCATATACATCCATATGTAAGAGCTACAGGCCAGCCACAGTGGCTCACGCCTGTAATCCCAGCACTTTGGGAGGCCGAGGCAGGCAGATCATGAGGTCAGGAGTTCAAGACCAGCCTGACCAACATGGTGAAACCTTGTCTCTACTAAAAATACAAAAATTAGCTGGGCGTTATGGCGTGCACCTGTAATTCCAGCTACTTAGGAGGCTGAGGCAAGAGAATCACTTGAACCTGAGAGGCAGAGGTTACAATGAGCCAAGATTGCACCACTGCACTCCAGCCTGGGTGACAGAGCTTTTTTTTTTCTGAAAAAAAAGCTACGATATACACAGACACATACACATTTACTCTCTACATACACATTTACTACACACACACACATACAGATATTTATACATATGTGTGTCCGTGTATATCCATATATATGTCTGTGTATATATACATTTACTATATACACACAAATATTGTGCATATATATGCATATTGTATGCATATATATGCATAAAATACCTATATATTTGTGTGTCTGTGTATATACACATTTACTATATACACACATATATAAATACATATAAATATCCATATATGTATCTGTGTATATAGTAAATGTATGAGAGTAAATGTGTGTCTGTGTGTATGTGTTGGTGTATATCATAGCTCTTACAACTATTATTATTATTGTCTCATTTTTCTCTTTATCTCTTTTTCCTATGACCGTTTTTCACTAACATAAGTTATTTTTCCACAACCAAATAATTTGCCCAGCTAATTGTATAACCTACTCTCTGGTCACTCTCTCCTCATCCTTTTTGTTCCTATCTTTTATGCAACTCAAATACAATACTTATAATAACCATGTTCTATGACACCAAGTCTGTTGCACAAGTTCCTGCACCCTATAATACCTTCTCCACTTCATTTGCCTAGAAAATTCTGACTCATCCTTCAAACCTTGAATGCAAACATCTTTCCTGAAGTTTTCTCTAATGCATCCTGATCATTCACTTCTCTATTAACTCTGTACCTCACACATACTTCTACATTATAATTATCACCCTGTGTTGTGACCATTTAACTATCAAAATGTGGGCCCTCTGGCTGGGTGCGGTGGCTCACACCTGTAATTCCAGCACTTTGGGAGGCTGAGGTGGGTGGATCATGAGGTCTGCCTGGCCAGCATGGTGAAACCCCGTCTCTACTAAAAATATAAAAATTAGCTGGGCATGGTCACATGCATCTGTAATCCCGGCTACTCAGGAGGCTGAGGTAGAAGAACTGCTTGAACCCAGGAAGCAGAGGTTACAGTGAGCCGAGATTGCGTCACTGCACTCCAGCCTGGGTGACAGAGTGAGGCTCCGTCTCAAAAAAATAAAATAAAATAAAATGTGGGCCCTCTGAGTACTGGATATTCACTTTGTATTTTTAGAACCTAACACAGTGCCTGGAACATGAGACGTGCTAAATAGGTACCTGCTATTTAAGCCAATCCAACACACCAGGACCATACTCATCAGTTCCCCATCCCTCATTCCCAATCTTATTCTTGTCCACTGATCGCTTCCCTTTAATCTAGTAATATGCTTCTCTACCCTAAACAGACTCCACCCCTCCCTTGAAGTGCTAGCTCATTTTCCTCTTCAATGTGTAATACAGAATCATTTCTCAATTTGTCATCTTACCTGTTAGAACACATTTTTGCTTTCTCACATCACAAAGAGCATGCTTCCATTTAGCTCTTATCCATATTCTTTCTATTAGAATTGGACATTTAAATGTATTTTCTCGACCAATCAAAAAGGCCTGAAATTCTTCTCTGTCCTGGTCAGAAAATGATAAACTTTTCTCCAAACAAACACCTGTTTAAAGGAAAATTTCCTTCTTTTAAACAATAAAAATGTATTACCTGAATAAGAATTAAGAGACACTGTCCACCGTACTGTTAGTCCTATTAAAACCACTATTGTCATCAAGTACCATTTCTCCATAGTTCTTCAAATTTAGGGAGGGGAAGAAAACACAGCACCAGTGCCAGAGTACTTTTAAAACGTGGTCAATCACTTCTTTTCTTGTTCAGAGAAATGTTATCACTTCTTGAAATGTTATCGATTCTTCGCAATTAGGAGTTTGAGAGGATTTTAATGATGCTTGGTTTCCAAATAGTCAAAAACTGATGATGTCTATGTAGAAGTATCCTAAGGGGAAAAAAGATATCAAGATTTAGCTGAGTACAGTACCTAAAACAATGAACCCAGTAAACCAAGTAGAAGGATAGAGAATTCGAGGGGAGGGGTAGTGGGAAGGAAAGTTAAGGAAAGGTAGTATTTCAAGTTCCTTATTCCCTAGTCCTTCAGTTGGGAATATACATCAAAAGGTGGCTCTCCCTATTAAATGGGACTCAATATGTCTAAAAATATAGTAAAGATTTACTCTCACAACGGAATATTTCTGAGAGAAGAAAAACAACACATATGTAGATAATGATACAGTCAATTCTATTTAAACATGTTCACCTACAGGTAAATATAAAACCACAACGGTAGACAAAGGGGTGATTTATCTTTGGTACAGTGAGAAAGAGGAATTTTGTCTTTGTATTTAGTTTGGGAAAGTCTTCCAATAAATAATTTCTCTAGTTTGGTTTTTACTTTTCTTCCAAAATATACTTGCATTAACCACACCAACTTTCCATCTTAGAGAAATGAGCCTTTGTAAGAATCATTAAGAATAGCCCCAGATCATGAGAAAAAAATACAAAAGCAGTTAAAATCAATTAACCATTAACTTTTTTTTTTTTTTTTTTTTTACAGTTTTCCTTAGGTTGGCATTTTAAAGTAAGAAGCAAATTGACGCTGGTCGCGGTGGCTCACGCCTGTAACCCCAGCACTTTGGGAAGCCGAGGTGGGCAGATCACCTGAGGTTAGGAGTTCGAGACCAGCCTAACCAATATAGTGAAACCCCATCTCTACTAAAAATACAAAATTAGCCAGGTATGGTGGCACTCGCCTATAATCCCAGCTATTTGGAAGGCTGAGGAAGGAGAATCGCTTCAACCCAGGAGGTGAGGGTTGCAGTGAGCCGAGATCATGCCATTGCACTCTAGCCTGGGCAACAAGGGCGAAACTCTACCTCAAAAAAAAGCAAATTGACAAAGTTGACATTTTCCTCTTCTCTTTGAAAAATGTTGGACCATTTTAACCACAGGATACACTTTAAATATATTCAGAAAATAGAATAAATCAACTAAAAAATTTAGGGCAAAATTGGTACATTCCACCTAATGATCTAAAATTATTTTATTTTATTTTGTTTATTTATTTTTTCTATTTTTTTGAGATGGAGCTTCGCTCTTATTGTCCAGGCTGGAGTGCAATGGCACAATCTCGGCTCACTGCAACCTCCACCTCCTGGGTTCAAGTGATTCTCTTGCCTCAGCCTCCTGAGTAGCCAGGATTACAGGTGCCCACTACCACGCCCAGCTAATTTTTGTATTTTCAGTAGAGATGGGGTTTCTCCAGGTTGGCCAGGCTGATCTTGAACTCCTGACCTCAGGTGATCCGCCCACCTTGGTCTCCCAAAGTGCTGGGATTACAGGCATAAGCCACCGAACCCAGCCCTAATTATTTTCTTATTTAAAATAAAAACATCATGGGATAACTTCAGAACTGATTGGAATGGCTAATCTTTTGTCATTCATGCCATATCTCAAATCATCCCCTCAGAAAGATCATCCCTGACTATCCTACTAAAGTTTCCTCCCCTTACTGTTTGTATCATTACCTTCAATTTGCTTCCAATTCTTTTCACTATCAGGAACTGTATTTTCACATGACATGGTGCAATCTCACATACAAAATTTTCAGTATAAATGCTGGACACCAAAGAATACATATCATATGGTTCCATGAAAGGTTCATAAATAGGAAAAACTAATCTATGGTGTTAAAAATCAGGAAGGAGGTTACCTTTGGGGAGGAAAGAAGGGATGATGGTTGCGGGGGGTGCCTAGAGAGTTCTTCTGAAATGCTGTGAATCTTGCTTCTTGATTTGAGTAGTGGTTAGGAGACGTGTTGACTTTAGGATAAATTAACAAGTTACAACTTATAATTTGTGTACAGTATTTTTCTCTATGTTATATTCCAATTTAAAAAGCATAAAAGGGGCTGGGCGCGGTGGCTCACCCCTGTAATCCCAGCGCTTTGGGAGGCCAAGGCAGGTGGATCACCTGAGGTCAGGAGTTCGAGACCAGCCTGGTCAACATGGTGAAACCCCATCTCTACTAAAAATACAAAAATTAGCCAGGCGTGGTGACTCGTTCCTGTAATCCCAGCTACTCGGGAGGCTAAGGCAGGAGAATTGCTTGAACCCGGAAGGCAGAGGTTGCAGTGAGCTGAGATCGCGCCACTGCTCTCCAGCCTGGGTGACAGTGCAAGATTCCATCTCAATTTAAAAAAAAAAAAATGTAAAAGGAAATTACTTGGATGTGTCGACTAGAGTAAAGGCTCCCTATGAGCAGGGATCCTCCTGTCTTAGTCGTTGCTCTCTGTTCCCCACTTGTAGAACAGTGTTAGCAGAAGGCAGGTACCCAAGAAGTACTTGGTGAATGGAGCTGTGTGCATCTGTGTGTGCAAAGCGGGGAGGTACCTAATTTTACTGATCCCTGTGTGGTTAAAGATGTTATGCGAGGTTTTTAACCACTCTCTTCTCCTTAAACCAGAAAAAGGGTTATTTGCGACTTTTTCCACCTGTAAATCAGAATACAGTAACTTTCTAACCCATCCACTGGCCACGAAGTTGCTAGGCAGGCAGTAGAGGCGCTTTTCGTCATCTTTTGCCTGACGGTGCATCTCGACAAACGCCAAGCCCGCCGCGGTCCACATCCCAGAGCCGACTTTGCTCCTTTTAGTCTGAAAGGTCCTTCCACCGCAGTGGACACAACACCGTGGAGTGCAGCTATGCCGGGCGAGCATATGGGGCGAAAGGGATCCCTTCTCACGTTTCTCCGCCCCTCCTCTGGAGGGCCAAGCTCTCAGAAGCTCAAGGACAAGGGTGACAGGACCGCCCCAGCCTGCAAGTGCCACCACTATCACCGCGTCCCCTCATCCGACCCCCAAGCGACCCTGCGGGAAGGGCTGGGGAGGCCTCGCGTCGCGTCCCAGGGAGTGGAGTGGACCTGGGAGCCGGGTCGCCAGCTCTGCGCCGCCTCGTGGCGCGTTGCGAGCCCCCGGCACCTCCCCACATTGGCCCGGGGTCCGGAACCCGGAGGATCCCATGCTCTTACCCCGCCGCCCGCCGACCGCTGGGATTCGCGCCTGCAGCTGGTCCCACGAAGGCGCCTGCGCGCTCACCCCCGCGGCAGACTGCCCCTCCTGCCTTCCGCCTCCGTGTACCCGCGCGCCCGGTGCGGGAGCGAGCCCGTCAAGCGTGAGGGGAGGGGCGGGCAACCTGGACTGGAGAAGAGGCGGCCGGCTTAGGAGGCGGGGCAAGAGCCGCTGGAACCCGAGAGGTCTCCAGCCCCGGGTTAGGCTGGGGGCAGGTGGAAAGCCCCTTGCTCTTCTTTCCTGGGATATGGCCAAGGCCAGAACGGCTGCTTAGCCAACGGATTCCTGTCAGGGGCGGGCCCTGGCTTGCTGCACTGAGCAGAGAGCCTTGGCCGGTCCTCACCACTGGGCAGTAGGGCTTCCTCTGGGCCTGTGCCCTCGAGGAGCCAGAAAGCCAACCTGTTTCACTTTCTTCCACCCACATGCCTGAGAAGAAGAAGACTGGGCAGCCCCCTCAAGTAAGAAACAGTGAACATCCAACCATTTTCGAGAGCCTGTGCGTTGTGCAAAAGGACCGCCCAGCCCTCGAGTAGCCACTACACGTGCCCCAGGGGGCAGCTTGAATCAGCTGGTCCCAAACTTGCCAAAAATACCTATCTAGTAAGTTAGCAAGACCTGCACACTTTTCCTTTTGCATTGATCCCTTCCTTTTCAGTTCCACTATTTCCATCTCAGTCTAGGCCCCTGTCCAGTCATGCATGGACGGCTGTGATGATTTTTACTTGCTTCCTTTATTCAGAGAGTGCCCTCATTCCCCATTAATGAATCTTGCCATTCTACGTAAGCCAACCCCTATAATTTGTAAGTGTTAGCAAATATTTGGCTATGACTATGGCTTTCTACTGAGTCTGAACAACTTCTCTCTGGGCCTCAGTTTCTTCAACTGTGAAAGGAATCAGTAGGGCTAGGTGAACTTCCAGGTCTAAAATATGATTATATCTAAAAGACCATCAACACTGGGAATATGGAGAAATATGGCCAGGTCCCTGCCCTCAAGGCATTTAATTCTCATTGGAAAGACATTTTTATGCGTAAAAGGATAAAAAGCTATAGAAGGGAACACATACTAAATGTTACATTACTTATATATGCACTAAGCACTGTAGGAGTTAGGAGAAGAGGGTTCACTGTAAACTGCAAACCATCAGGAAACGCTTTTCCTGGAGGAGTCAGCTGAGCTTTGAAGGAAAGCCTGGCTGGATAAGCCCAGAGAATGAGAGTAGGAATCTAGACAAAGGAAATGGTTCAAGCCAAATATTGTGGCAGCTGAAAAGTGTAGAACATTTCCTCCAGTTTAGATGGTGGGTGATGAAGCTGGAAAGGACTAGTAATTGTAGAGAGACTTGAATACCAGGCTGTGGTGTCTGGAATGTATCCAGTGATCAGTAAGGGGCTATTAAATGACTTTTAGCAGGGAGTCAAGTGTACAATACAGTGTTAGAGAAAACTTAAAGTGGTGAAAATGGATCAGATGAATCATAGGGAGACTATAGCAGTTCATGCATGATTAGACAAGGACTTGGACTGAGATGGCAATAGTGGAACTGGAAAGGGAGAGATCAATGCAAGAAGAAACATGTACGGGTCTTTTTATTTTTATTTTTTATTTTTTTCTGAGACGGAGTTTCGCTCTTGTTCTCTTGTTGCCCGGGCTGGAGTACAATGGCGCGATCTTGGCTCACCGCAACCTCCACCTCCCGGGTTCAAGCGATTCTCCTGCCTCGACCTCCCAAGTAGTTGGGATTACAGGCATGTGCCACCATACCCGGCTAATTTGGTATGTTTAGTAGAGATGGGGTTTCTCTATGTTAGTCAGGCTGGTCTCGAACTCCCAACCTCAGGTGATCCGCCCACCTTGGCCTCCCAAAGTGCTGGGATTACAGGCGTGAGCCACCACACCTGGCTCATGTACAGGTCTTTATAGCATACTAGATATGTACAAGTGAAACGAAGGAGAGGGAAGAATCAAGGATGGCTCCCAAGGTTTCAAGTGTGAATTACAGTTCCCAAGAACTGATAGATCTTGGGAAGCCTGGAGAATAATCTGGCTTGGAGGAAAAGATGGTGCATTGTATTCAGGTCAAGGTAACATAAAGAAAAGACAGTTGTAATACTCAGGTGTCAGTTATGAATCAGAGCCCAGGAAAGAAGTTGGGGTGAAGATAGAGAGATGAAAGAGTTTCATTTGCTGAACAATGATGGAGACAGTATAAAGAGAAAATAAACAACCATACTTGAATAAATGCATTATCTCAGGCCAAGAGGAGGACGGCACATTGGTGAAGGATGTTACATGGTTACAAACGTAGGGAGAAATCCAGTACATTGCAGGATCATAAATATTAAGCATCTTGTGAACAAGAACCATGTTTGGCAGACTGAAAATCATATTTTATTGAATCTAAAATTCCACCATCATTATTTTATGTACCACTGAGGAAGAAAACAATGCTACCATTTAAGCTAGTAATTACTGTAAAACACATATAATTTCAGAAATATTAATATGTAAAAAAGTATACATCTTAAAGTGGTGAAAGTTTGTATCAATCTCTCCTTCCTGTTTCTCAACCCAACAGCTTCTGACCCAGTATTTAACAAAAAGTTGATGCTCAAAATATTCATGAATAAATAGTGGAGGAGACATCACAGTCACTAACTCATAGCTGAATTGTCCCACCACTGCCATCTGTATACCTTCTCCTGCTGTTTACCTCCAATAGGGATCATCTTTCGCATCTGAATATCCAGTGCCTTTGCATAACAGATGCTCACAAAATGCATTTTGAATGACAGCATTTACTATAAGCAAAAAGGGTAAGCCATAGCAAAATTATAGAGTAGATCAAGTTTAGAGGCAGTGTAGAAAGGTGATTAAGAACTAGTCTCTGACTCTGAAGACATTAAATCTTAGTTCTTCTACTTTCTAGCTGTGTGAACTTGGTAAAGTCTCCTAATGTCTCTGGCATAATTACTTCACCTACAAAAAACAAAAAAGAATTAATAATAATGTCATCTTCTTTGAACTTTAATAAGAGTAAAATGAAATCATGCATATAAAACTTGAATATACTTCCTGACATATAGTACACAATCAATAAATAGTAGCTGTTATCATTTGTCTTTAACATGTGCTCACTTTTTCATAGCCTTTTCCTTTCTTTGAAGTGTCTTCTTTCCCCTACCATATAGCAGCCCATACATACATATATTTACATCCCCACCAGAAGCCTAATGTTCTTATCTGAAAATTTTATCTGAAACCATAACCAGACATAGTAGCTCACAGCTGTAATCCCAGCATTTTGGGAGGCTGAGGTGGGCAGATCCTTTGAGCCCAGGAGTTGAAGACCAGACTGAGCAGCATGGTGAAACCCTGTCTCTATAAAAAGTATATAAAAATTAGCCAGGTGTGGTGGTGTGCTCATATAATACCAGCTACTCAGGAGGTTGAGATGGGAGGATCACTTGAGCCCAGGGACGCTGAGGCTGCAGTGAACCATGATGCACCAATGCCCTCCAGCCTGAGTGACAGAGCACAACTCTGTCTCAAAAAAATAAAAAAATAAAAAATTATCTGAAATCAAATTACACTAATGCATAATCCTTCTTAAAAGTTTTTGTTGGCCAGGCATGGTGGGTCATGCCTGTAATCCCAGCACTTTGGGAGGCCGAGGCGGGCAGATCATGAGGTTAGGAGATTGAGATCATCCTGGCTAACACGATGAAACTCCGTCTCTACTAAAAAGACAAAAAAAATTAGCCGGGCGTGGTGATGGGTACCTGTAGTCCCAGCTACTCAGGAGGCTGAGACAGGAGAATGGCGTGAACCTGGGAGGTGGAGCTTGCAGTGAGCCAAGATCCACGCCACTGCATGCATTCCAGCCTGGGCGACAGAGAGAGACTCCGTCTCAAAAAAAAAAAAAAGGTTGCATTTTAAAGACAGATGGGAAAGAACATGAAATGAACAGTATTAATCTCTAAAGTCAGTTTGACTAATAGGTGATGGCTTCAATTATCTACTGCTGTGTAACAAATTACTCCAAAATTTAGTGGCTTATGTAGCAATGTTTTTATTTACTCATGATTCTATGGATCAAGAATCTAGGCAGGGTTCAGGTAGGTGGTTCATCTGTTCCACTGGGATTGTCTGAGGTCACTCATGAGGCTGCATTCAGCTGGGAGATCAGCTGAGGCTGAAACATCTGTGAATGGCTTCAGCCCTCTCTCCACAGGGCTTCTCTCTCCAGAAAGTTTCACAAACTTTTTACATGGCAGCGCACTTCCCAGAGAGAGCATTCCAAGCAGCAAAGGCAAAAGTTGCAAATCTCTTAACACCCCAGCCTTACAAGTCACACAGCAACCTAGCCATGATACAAGGAGAGTGGGAATAGATTCTGCCTCTCAATGGGAAGGTAGGAAAGAATTTGTGGCCATCTGTAATCCACTACAGAAAAGTTGGGATGAAACTAGAAATGGGCAAGAGCCCAGCTAACTAATAATTTTTTTGTCACCAGCCAGAAAATCAGAGTTCAAATCCCCTTACTTTCTTGTCTTTCTGCCATGTCTTTCACAAAAGGGGCAACCTCTGGTGGCCATTTCATGTGTATAAAGAAAAGATAATAATCGCATGGTACAAATTGTGTGTAACTTGTTTTGGCCTGAATTGTAGCCCTCAAAATTCATATGTTGAAGTCCTAATCCCCAGTGCCTTAGGATGTGACTATATTTGGAAATAGGGATTTTAAAGAGGCAATTAAGATTAAGTCAGGACATTAGGATGGGCCCTAGTCCAACATACCTGGATCCTTGTAAGAATGGAAATTTGAACACAGATATGCATGCACACAGAAGAAAGACCATGTGAAGACAGGAGAATAGGGCCATCTGCAAGAAAAGGAGAGAGGCCTCAAAAGAAATCAGCTCTGCAGACACTTTGATCTCTGACTTCAAGCCTCCAGAACTCTGAGAAAATAAATTTATGTTGTTTAAGCCACACAGCCTGTGCTATTTTGTTACAGCAACCTTAACAAACTATTATATACTTTATTAAAGGTACTGTTAATATTCAATCAGCTAGGCAA